CATCGGGCTCCCTGCTCGGCAGGGAGTCTGTTTCTCCCTCTGACCCTCCCCCCTTCTCTCTCATTCTCTCTCTCTCAAATAAATAAATAAAATCTTAAAAAAAATAAATAAATAAATAAATAAAGTGGAGATAATAATAGTTTTATTAGGAAGATTAAAGACAATGATCCGCCACTGAGCAGATAAAACAGTGTCTGATGCATTCTAAAGCTAGACTGAAATTAACTATTATATGTCTGTCTGACATCTTCTATGGCTAGATTATAACTAAGCACTATTTGCCTGTATATGCATATATTTGCACAGATACACTTATAGATTTGGCTTATAATGTATAGCCCAATTAGAATAGTATTTAAGATGACACATTTGAAATTTAATTAATGCCTAAATTTATAGTTAACAGGAAGCTTTCATTTTTAATGAAATTAACCAGAAATATCCCCAAATACCTGGAGCTATATAAATTGTCCTAATCTCCACCAAAAATGTCACTCAAACATAAATATAATTTCAAAGTTAGTAATATCCTAGGAGCATATCAACCTCTGAGAGCAAGTAAAATTTAAAAGTTAACGTGATATGGTGAACGCCATGAATTGTGTAAGACTGACAAATCACAGACCTGTGCCCCTGAAACAAATAATACATTATATGTTAATAAAAAAAAGTTAAAGTGATAGCTACCGTAATCTCAATTGTTTGTAATAGTGCAACAGTTAATTAACCTTAAATTGTCTCAACACAATAGTACCCTATATTAATATAAAAGTTAAAAAGTCCAAGTAACAACTTGGGTCTTTTGCCTAGGAAAATTCTAACATTCATAGGTTTAAGAACATTAAACTGAGTAGCTTTAGAAATCAATTACAAATTATAAATCAATTCATATGCCTAAGTCAAAACTGTGTTTCTAAAGGTTTTGTTCCAGCTCATGTGGTTTTAAAATTAAAATAATAAACTTACTGTGGAAGATTTAAAATTGCTTCTGGAACACATGTAAAGCTGTTTTGAGATAATTTTAGGCTTGTCAGAGAAGAAGGCAAAAAAGGCATAACAGCTAAAAGAAAATAAAAGTGAGATGAGGGACATTTTAATCATTTTAACTAGATTTCCTTTAGATTTGACAATAAGAACAGCTATCAATGACCTGTCAATTTAATTTCTATTCACTTGCTGACAATAAAAAATTCTACTTTTAAAATAAGGTAACTCCCTTACTCCTTTTACTAAACATAAAACCAATGCAGCATACTTATAAGCATATTTTCATCTGAAAGCTAAACAACTGTCCAAACATAAATTCATCTGTCCAACATCTGTACAAAGTAAAAATTATTAGAATATTCATTCCAACTTATGTGTGATATTATGTGTACATACATTATGGATTAATTCATATTACTCATAAGTATAACAAAACACTTTGAATACTAATACACAATATAATGTAAAGATAAAAATTCATTATAGTACCACCTAGTAAAGAGTGTTCTATGGGATAGTAATGAATGTTGCTTAATAAAAGCATTCTTTGATCTTAAGAGATTGGGGAAACATTAAATAAAATGAAGTGAAATATCTCAGAGTTCTCAATATTCTCATATACTTTATGAACTTCCAAGAAGGAAATACAGTATGAAGTACCTCCAGGCAATAAAATTCTGTGGAACACAGTTTTGGAAACTGAGCAAATCATTCAGCCTGTTTTTCATCTGTAAAATAGTGCAGCTAGACCAGATGAACTCTGCGATTCTTTAGAGATCTAAAAATCTATGGTTCTATGAAAGTGGCTTGAGAAATTATTTCTTAGCATTTTCAAGGTTAAAAATATGAGTTATGCTTTCTCTAGAAAATCTTCAAGGGTCAAAGTGTTCCAAGACGCTGCTAGAAGCTGTTTTCCTGAGAGGCAGAAAGGAACATGCTATTATTTTTCGCCTATATCTGAAAAGTATTTGTGGCAAAATAAATAATTCTCCACTTAAAAATTAAGAGGTTTAGATGATATATGGAAAAGACTCATGAATTCAAAGAACCAAAACTGCATTTCACATGGGATTATTTTAATGGCTTAGTGGTCCCACTCAGATATCACTTCCCTAAAGCGTCGTTCCAAATATAAGACCACTTCTAAAACTATTACAGTTGTGTAGTGCAAAGCAAACGGATTTTTGAACTTAGTTGTATTAGCGCTTTCACAACAACCAGTTAATTAATTCTATGCCCCTGAATACATCACACAAAAATTCTCTTCCTTTTCCTCAGTCAAGCAGAGAGCATACCTGTCCTACCCTATAGGATTTTTGTGAGATTCAGCTGAGATGACATTAACCAAGCCTCAGGGTCCTTGGGATGCTCCTCTTTCCAGATCTAACTTAAATGTCACAGATACAGAGACACTTCTCTGCCTCCACAGTATGGATGAGATCCCCCTGACGTACCCTTGTAGCATCCTCAACTTGTCCTCATGGTACTTAGCTTAGTTACTGAATGCCTATCTTCTGAACCTAACCACTTATTCTTTAAGGACAGAGACTGGGTTTGCTTTGCTCACTAGGAGGGAATCACTCTATCCCCATTTTCAGGTTCATGGTAGGAACATGGTCAATATTCAAGAGGCCTGGAGGAAAGGAGAAAGGAGGAAAGTATCATGCAAATTAACATAGCTTTTATCATTACTAGCTTCTGAAAGTTCTGTCAGAAGAAAATATTTTAGAATAAGTCAAATTTTATTCTGCTTTTAAGCAGTATTAAAAATTATTTTACTGGAACGCCTGGGTGGCTCAGTCAGTTAAGTATCTGCGTTTGGCTTGGGTCGTGATCCTGGAGTCCTGGGATGAAGTCCCACATCGGGCTCCCTGCTCAGCGGGGAGTCTGCTTCTCCCTCTACCTGCCGCTCCCCCTGCTTGTGTGCACTCTCTCTCTCTCTCTTTTTAACAAATAAATGGATAAAATCTTTTTAAAAAATTATTTTACAGAGTCAATATAGAATAGTCACATGGGTGGCAAGGTGCATGTGGCCTCCTTTTATCTTCTTAAAGAAGATAAAATATGGGGAGTTCCCATTTATTCCCATAAAAGTATTTTGTCCCTTAATATTAGAATGTTCAGGTAGACTACAAATAAACATAATTCCCTGTTACCTCACATGCTAAGAGAACATGGACTATTTCCCGACTTTTAATAAAAGCGATGATCATATTATGTATTACTATAATATTCTGCACAGAGCAAGTGCTCAATGAAAAACATTAACCATACTAATTTGAAAACTGTTAACTGGTTAATTTTATTTCCACAATAAATAATAATAGTAACTATACTTATAATCCAAAAAACTGAGCAAACTTCAGTAGGAAACTCAGTATTCCTGCTTCAACCAGGTCATGCACCCATATGCATTTTAGTTTCACAGACTACAACGAACCGTAGTATGACTATTTGGAGTCCAAAGAACTGTCATTTTAGCCTATGAGCAACCTATTATAATTTTTTAATTCGAAAATTTTTTCAGTATTAAAAATTTTAATTTTTTAGTATTTAAAAAATAAACTATTTTTAGAGTACCTTTAGGTGTACAGAAAAATTGAGCAGAAAGTACAGAGAATTCCTATAAACTCCTTCTCTCCTCACCACCATTCCTCCCACACACACACATTTTTATCCTTATTGTTAATAACCTGCATAAGCTTGGTGTATTTGCTATAATTGATGAGCCAATATTGATATATTATTATTAACTAAAATTCATCATTTACAATAGAGCTCACTCTGTGCTGTACATTCTCTGGGTTTTGACAAATGTATAATGACAGGTATCCACATTACAGTATCATTCAGAATAGTTTCACTGTCCTAAAAATCCCACTCACCTCCCCATTCCTCTCTCCCTCCCTCCAAACTCCTGACAATCACTGACTGTTTTACTGTCCCCACAGTTTTGTCTTTTTCAAAATGTCATATAGTTGGAACCATATAGTATGTAGTCTTTTCAGATTGGCTTCTTTCACTTAGCAATACACATTTAAACTTCCTTCATGTCTTCATGGCTTGATAACTCATTTTTTTAAATCACTGACCTGTACACTTTATCTCTGAAACTCCTCCATTAAATTTAAATTGAAATGCCACCTTTATATCCCCACCTAACATGTCCATGTATGACTCATCCTATAATACTCAAAAAGACTGTTTAGGAGGAGACTCATACAGAACACTTACCAAGATAATTCATTCTGGCACTGAAACTCTCCACTTTAGGACATGCCTCAAGGAAGTCTTCTGATAGGGATGTAATGTGGTTTTTACTAAGGTTTAAAATCTTCAGTTCCTTCAGGCTTAAGGGGGAACATATTTCTGGTATTTTATTTCTAGTCATAAGAAACAAAATGAGGATTAAATTTCATAAATTATATGCTTTGAAGAAAAAAACAATTTGCCTTCAAAGAAGAGCATCAAAGCAGATTTATTAATTTTAAAATTAATTGTGAAAATTGACAGAAGCCATAATATGAATTCCCTCAATCTTTTATCATATTATTGTTTAAAACCCGTTACTACAGAAATAATGTCAACATATTTTATCAATCTTACAAAACTTCAATGTAAGGCAATCCTTTTTATTTAATTATGAACTCCTTTCTTACCCTTCTAAAATGAGCTGTTCCAATTTCTCTACCACAACGCCAAGGTTCTCAGGAAAAGAAGACAGCTGATTATATGACAAGTTAAACTGTTTCAAGGTTGGGCACTTCACTGCAGGATCCAAAACCACTGAAGGGCTGATGTCGTTTCGAGAGACATCGAGGTTGGCAATACAATTCATTTTCAACAAGTAAGAGGGAAATGATGTAAATTTATTACTGTGCAAATCCAAATGTGTCAAACACTTCAGGGTCTGGAAAGACAGTATTTTAAAATTCTCTAACCATCTGAAAACCATCTGAAAAACTTAAAATTAGCTAATATTTCTGCCTTCCATACCTCTGGTAATTAGAACCATTAAGAATTTTCCAAAAAATTGGAAACACAATCCACAAGAGAACTTCAGTATAATGATTGGTCCAACCATCCCTGCTATTAAATGGGTAAAAACCAGGAAAACGTAACAGTTAAAATGTAAAAAGCAATTCACAAAAATAAGGTTAAGAGTTTAATTTAGTTTTTTGGTAAATTATTCCTGCCAAGAGTGAGATGGAAACAGAATAAGCCTCAATAAATATTTGAATTATTTAATGAATAAACAGTACAAAATAATCCTGGGAATACATTTTTTAAATACTAGCTTTTAGAAATTGTTATACATTTTAATATAAATAATATTTAACCATAAAAGTAGTCATTGTATATATGTTTCATTTTAGAACCTCTTCTTTGTCATGAAACTTTTTTGTTTCAAATTTCTAACCTCCATTTTTAAGCAATTTCTAATTTTACCATGGTAATAGGAAACCTTCCATTTATATGTCAGTTTTTTAAATCTTTGGTATGGATTATTGTCAAAGCCTAAAATATCAAAACAACCTCTTCTCTATGCTCTTCTTTATATATCAATATATTTATCCTCACAGAAATTCTAAAGAGTTTGACGTGATTATAAAGCTTATTAATGGATTTGTTCCAGAAGTTGTTTCAAAATATCTGCCACTGTTTCAGATCCTACCTGATTATTCAGAAGGAAATATTTTTAAATTATTTATTCCCAAGTTTTAATGGAGAAATTTTCTGGTAGAGACAGCTACAAGCAGTAAAAAGTGCCATCTATTGGTGCCAATTTAAAATTTCCTTAAGAGAAGGTTCTGAGCTGGTTTGGTCTTTGAATACCCTAATGTATCTCACCCTATCATGCTCTTATCGAATTCTCTTTGTTTTAGCTAGGCTAAATTCTAGTTTTCTTTTATTTACTGTTTAACAAATATTTACTGAAGGTCTACCAAGTGTCAGTCATTAATTCCATCATAAATTAATTCCATAATCATCTGTTGAGCTCTTCTGTATTTCAGACCTTACTTGGCACTAAGAATAGACATGACCAAGCCTGAAACAGCTCCTGTTCTCAAGAAGTTAACCATTAGTAAAGACAATATACCTTAGATCAAAATTTATAAGCATTGGGGGAAAAACATGGAAGCCATAGAAACATTAATCAGGCTGGTAGCCAACCTGGTCTGGAGGCAAGAAGAGGAGAAGGAGAGAAAAGGTAAGGAAATGACATTTAAACTGAGACCCTTTTGACTTGGAGGATTTAGGCAGGCAAAGAGAGGAGGAGAAGGAGAGAGAGAACGCATTTTAGACACTGGGGTTACAAAATGATCACACTTCTTCTCTCTCCCTCTCTCCAAATACACAAACTTTAAGGGAAAGACACCACTTAAATGTACTTAAAAACATGCAATATTGCTTTAAAACGTCTCAAAAGTATTGCAAATTTTATAGGTGAGAAAAAAGAAAAAATGCATTTGCAATAAACCAGTTTTTTATAAAGTATGATCCTTCATCAAACTCTGCAGCTCAGTCTAAGAATTTAGTTTAATAATTTAAATATTTGTATCAAAATGTTTTTAGTTTGTCAGGATATCTTCTTTGACTTCTGATCCATCGTACAGTAAAATGATGAACAAAGTCAATATTCTGAGGACTACTCGATCAGCAGATCATTTTATGCTTTAATTTTTGAAAATAGGAACTTTGAGCATAAAAAAATCAACTTTTAAGTTGCATGTAATTTTAAAACTCAACAAATGCCTCATGGATAGTTTGGTTGAGCCTCTGTACTTTGCAGTTGAGGAAATGAAGGCTTCCAGCAGCCAGAGGGACACATACTTCTTGTTAAACAGCTGGGGGCTGGGCCAGAGCTGGTGCCACCAAGCCAGATCTAATTCTGGTCACCTCTTTAAACAGCTGAAGCTGCCTCCCTAGAATTCAATGATTGAAGGCATGATTAACATGCAGCCTCGATACATCCTACCATGTACCATGTATCATCAGGACAGAACCTAGGATTCCTTTTACCAGATCACCATTCCTCAAAGATGGTGAACACCATACACACCAAGATACCACTGTGGAAACCCCAAGAAAGGGGGAACTACTGTCCAGTGATGCAGAAGTAGATCCTTCTTTTTAAAGATTTAACCAAAGATAGAAATGCAACAGCTCTTCAAATATCCTGAGAGTTAAAAGGATAAAGTAAATTTACTTCACACAGTTGTTGTGGAAAGCTCGCGAGTGCATTCTGGTGAAGCTCCAGCTTTTCAAGATGCTCCAAATGACCACTGATACAGCACCTCTGGCTTAGGGCATCAATATCTCTTAGTTCATTTGCTGAAAGGTCTAATGATGTAATATATTCTCTCTCAGAAGCCAGGGAAGAAATGCTGTCTGAATGCCTCATATGGGATTGAAGTTTTGATGATCCTTTTATCAAAAACAAACACACAATGGAAATATAAGCAAGTAATCTAAGTTCACTTGGTAAATATTTACTGATCACCGACCAGTGTCAGGCTCCCTTCAAGGCACTGGAGATCCAGTAGGAAACCAAACTACAGAGCTTACATTCCAGTGGCAGAGCTGGACAATAAATAATAAATACTTAATCAAGTGGTAGAAGTAATATAAAAAAACAATAGACCTGGAGAAGGGGATGAAGAATGGCATTGGTGATGGTATTATTTACATTTCAGAAAAGTAGTAGAAAGGATAAAAGAGTCAGTCTTTCATAACATCATAAAAGGTCAAATTTTAAATCTATAATTGTATTTCATTTTTCTATAATGTCTGGTATTATTGGGTAAATATAATTTGAAGGTTATGTAAGATGAAATTAACACCCAGAAAATTTGAACAGAGGAAATTGTTATTAACAAAGTACTGTATTCTGCTCAAAATATCTATTTATTTATGATTACTTTCAAATACTTACTGAGTGAGTCATCTGAAGACAGTATTTTTCTTTTTTGCCTCAGTAAATCTTCATGATCGAAAATGGGTTCCTATTAAAAAAATAGACAAGTATAATAAAATCCCTATCATTTTTTGGAGCAAAGAGAACATTTCCTATTCCTTAAGAATCACTGTAAGATTTCTAGTTAAAGTACACTGGGGACCAACACCATAAGACAGAGACCTAGCCTGGACTCCATATATATGAAGCTTTAAAAAGGAAAAAAAAAAAAAGATAAAATCATTTTGAAGTATACTTAGTACACATATGACCCAAACATGCTCAAAAAAATGTATATTTAGAATGGTTTATACATATAAATATATACATATTCTATATATAAAGTTTTCATATACTAGGGAACTTCTGCACCAGTAGCTCCTAGCTTTGGCACATAATTTCAGTTATCAAGAGACTATAAGTAACAAAACACACAACATAATCACAATTTCACTTACCAATGAGTTGGAATGCCTTTGCAAATTTGGTGAGCAACGCTGCAAGGCACGATCTCGGTAAAATTCTCCTACGCTAATTGAATTGGATTTTCTTTTCACAAGAAATGAGCCTTCACTTCCTATTTTTAAACGATAAAATAAAGGCAAGTAAATGTTGACTCAATCATAAGATGCTAGCCTCATAGTAAAATCATAAAAGGTTAAACACATATTCATCGATGGAAGTTGCTCAATTCCCACTGTAACATCTTTAAAATAGAAATAATAAACTATGTTGGCTTTTCACTTTCAAAATTCAGCTACATTTTTCTTCACACATAGTTTTTGAATGGCTATCCTAGACTAGTACTGAGTAAGTGCTGAATAAAGATAAGCAGGAAAAAAAATCCATGCCTCATGAGCTCATAGTACAGTAGGAAAAAGCCAAGTAAAAAAATAGTTACATATTATGATAAATACATGTGTGTACAGGAAACAAAGAAAGTTTATACACAAATCTGGGGTGCCTGGGTGGCTCAGTCAGTTAAGCATCTGCCTTCGGCTCTGGTCATGATCCCGGGGTCCTGGGATTGAGCCCTGCATCAAGCCCCATGTCAGGCTCCCTGCTCAGCAGGGAGTCTGCTTTTTCCCTCTCCCTTTGTCCCTCCCCCCATTCATGCTCACTCGCTCTCTATCAAATAAATAAAATCTTTTTAAAAAGATCTGATCAATGCCATTTTTTTCTGTTTCTTTGATTTACTCTTAGAAAATTTTTGTTTAAATATTGGAATCACAATAAATTATTTCACATTCAGCAATCTTGAGAACCTCTCTAAATTTCATATTATGTGGTTTCATTTATGGAATGACATTAAAATGAAACAATGAGTTTAGTTGGCATTATCCTCTTGAGAGAGAGAAGAACTACTTTTAAAATTATGGATTTAAAGAAAATAAGGATCAATAAATAAATTATATTATTAAGGATAAAAAATTTGGAGACATTACTGCAAAATTATGAGATTATAAATTCTACCACTCTCTATCTTACAAGCACAAAGAATTAATTTTAAGTGTCAAAACAAATTATAAAATCTACATATCTAAAAATCAACTTTATAATATTCTATATAAATCTTGAAATTGATACAAATACTTCCTACTTGGTTCACTATTAAAATTTAATTTATCCTATAATTTTAATTAATTTATGCTTAAGCATCTTAATAAAATAGACTTCACAGTTTAATTACATTTTTATATCTTATAACTATTACATTTTCATAATTATCCTACTTTATATTTGTGTATGTTGTGTTAGCTTATTGTTTATAGAAGCAACAAAGGCATTTTATAATTATTTTTATGTCAGTATTTCTAATGTTTTTCTTTATTTAAAAATACTTAAAGGGTTGCCAGGGTGGCACAGTTGGTGGAGTGTCGAGTCTTGGTTTCAGCTCAGGTTGTGATCTCAGGGTTGTGAGATCAAGCCCTGTGTTGGGCTCCACACTAAGCTTGGAGTCTGCTTGAGATTCTCTCTCCCTGGCTCTCTGCCCCTCCTGCTCATGATCTCTTTCTCTCTCTCAAATAAGTAAATAAATCCATAGAACAAAATACTTAAAGAGAATTCTTCTTTCAGGCATGATGGAGTTACAAACACCAAACCTAATCTCTCCCCACAAACAACTAGAAACTTGGATGAAATATTTTAAACAACTGGTTTCAAACACTGGGCAACAGACAGTTCAGGATGGTGTACTCCCTGAAAGAAGGGAAACAAATTATGTAAGCCTATGATCACCCTGGCTTCCTGCCTGAAGACAACCTAAGGGTCATAGGCACAGGGAGGAGGAATTTAAACAAATCTCAACGGCTTTCTTGAGACGAAGAGATGGAGATCAACATTCATGTAGACTAATTTAGCTGGGAGTTCTGGGGCAAAGTCATGAAAAAAGAGCTCGAGTAATTTGCATAGGGGTTTCCAACAGATTTGCAGTGTAAGAAATGTAAAAGGGAGTTCTTTAAGAGGAAAGAAATGATAATACCTGGATGAATATAAAGGGATTAAGTCACACAAAAAAATTATAATCCTTTATGTTTGTGCACCTAGTAACAGAGCTCCACAATACACAAAGCATAAACAGATAAAAGGAGAATTAACAAATCCATGACTACAATTTCAACATTTCTTTGTCAAATACAACAGGCAGAGAGAAAAATTAGTAAAGATATAGAAGACCTAAAAAATACTACCAATTTGACCTAATTGACCCAACAATTGCTGAATACATATTCTTTTTTTAATTTTATTTTATTATGTTATGTTAATCACCATACATTACATCATTAGTTTTTGATGTAGTGTTCCATGATTCATTGGTTGCATATAACACCCAGTACTCATTACATCACA